CTGCTCATGCTCTCTGTCAAATAAATAAAATCTTTAAAAAAAAAAAAAAAAAAAGTCCATCTTCTCCCCAGCTTTTCTTGCCTGGCCCACCCAGTTCCCCTAAGGAATTCACTGTCAATCCACCTAGACAGTCATTCACTTCCATCCATCTAGATATTCTCTGCTCGTACAAGTACTGTAATTGTATACCACAGTACTTAAGAGCATGGGTCCTAGTTCCTATCGGCATAGACAAGAGTCCCAACCATTTATCAGCTGAGTGATATTGGGCAAATTACTCAACTTCTCTAAGCCTCAGTTACCTAGTATGTGACACAGGAAAAATAGGAGCTACATTAAAATATTGTTGAGAGAATTCAATGAACCGGTACATGGTGTTAACCATAATCAAACATACACGATTGCCTTGTTAATATTACCCAGGGAGCAAAGCTCTAAAGGAAAAAATCAAGACCCATTAGAAAAATAAAGTTCACTATTGAGAAAAATAAAATAGCCATATTTGTTTCTAATTCATCAGCCAATTAAAATGGCTTAATTTTAGATTTATAATTTCATTAATCATATACTTATAAAATCTTCTGTAAGAAGCAATAAAAGAAAAAGCTCCTAGGGCATTCTATGCTTTAAATCCCTATAAATCTGTTACGTTTTTACCAAGATCTGATTGTGTCCACATTAATGTACCATATAGAATTGATAAATGACAATGACATAGCTCATTCTTATTATGATGGAAACCAGGTTGAGACAGGCTGGCCTGGAGAACCCACTGTTTAAAATTTAACTCCAATGTCCATTCCTCTGAGAGACATGTTAATATCACTCTCGACAGAGTTGGTTGCCTCTACCTCCCTGTCCCCACTCTACTTTGCAGATAAGACTTAATGACACCAAATCACCACTTTATGTATCCTACTGTCTTCTATGGGTCACAGGCTCATGAAAAAGGAAGGACCTTGATTCTTCTACAGTGTGTTTCTCTAAGCCCTACTGGGTCTAGCTAGTGCTTTCACTCTAAAGGTGCTCCTTAAATTTTAGAAAGAATGGAAGGAATGTTGTGATGCATCACCTTGAAATCAAATGTAGAAATACATTAAGATAACTCAAAGATAAATCTCCCCAACCCGTGATATATTTGAAGCATAGCCATTAAAGGCCACTTCTTCCAATTTGTTGCCTAATTCTATTTATTTAGTTTTCTGGTGGAAGTAATAGCTAACTCAGAAAACTACTGTTTGGCCAAGTTAAAAGACAATACCAGAAGTTCACATGTAGTTGAATTATGAGTGTCAGATTTTGAGAAGAGATGCAGATTTTGAAAGACTATGTGGAAAAAAAGGCACTAAGAGAACAAGATGCCGTGGTCACAGATGCATGTACAACAGGGAAAAAAAAAAAAAAAGTGTATCGAAGCCTGCAGCTGAATAGTTCAGGGACTTTTGAGAAAGTATGTGTAAGAACTTTCTAAACCTTCTCTCCTTATCTTTGTGACAAATTAGCACATGTTGTTTGTTAGTTTTTGTCAACTGTGCTTCAAGAAGTTTATTACAACTAATTATATATAGATTTTACTTGGCATCTAGCTGATGGAAAATAAAGCTATAATTCAAATGGGGGAGTCCAATTCTAAAATGTCTTCACTTGGACACACAAAAAACACTGCACTTCAATGTTCTTTCAGTTTCTACTCCCCATCAACACAGGACGAGACTCTCATCTCTGGCCTCTTGTGCATAATCCCCTGAGCACTTCAGCTGACCAGCCACAGTCCTGGGCTTTCCAAGTTACTCTTTGCTCTCCTTCCCTCCCCCTCTTTTGGGGAATACAAGCAATAAATATGTCTTGTATTACAGAGTTACATTTTTTCCACCACACTGTAAGCAACTTAGAACTAGAACAGTAGTCCTCACATTGCCTAACAAACATTCAATAAATCTTTCTTGATTGAAAGAACAAGTGAATGAATGATGTGGTCTCCTCAATATTTAGATACTACCCTACAAATGCTCAAAAATGTTAGCTCTTTGCCTAATAATGACTTCAGACAAGCATTGTAGGGCCCTTGTATGTAAGTTACCCACATTTAAGCCTGACTGCTTTTTAGCCACAGAGGGCCTGAAGAGATGAGGAGATACTCTCACTGTCAGAGGCAGAGAACAATCATGCGCGCGCACACACACACGCACTTTCATCCTATTTGGAAAAATTATTTTCTTCATCCAAACCTAACCAAGTTGCTCGAAGGCAGAAAGCATAAACTGCAGACAAGTTCCAACTGTACTACAGCAGTGTCTGCTCTTACACAGTGAATTATAACCACCCAGAATCTTTCTGGCAGATGAAGGAGAAACTTCTCATTATTTTGTTGTTGTTGTTTTTTTAAATATCAACTACCTACTTATAGAAAAGTTTTGAAGAAACAGTTAAAGATACACATACAAAAGAATCACCAAGGTAAATGTAAAGAACTAGAAATCAGCAAGAAGGTCATGGAAAGGAAATAATTAAATTAGAAAATCTACCCTAAGTATTATTGGTATCTTTCTTGGTAGTTAAGGCTAGAAGGAACATTAGGAGTTATAATGCTTGTAAAAACTGACTCTAGGGAACTAGCTAGTGAATCTTTTCACATGTAAGAAATTGATTAATATGCAGGGGCGCCTGGGTGGCTCAGTTGGTTGAGCGACTGCCTTCGGCTCAGGTCATGATCCCGGAGTCCTGGGATCGAGCCCCACGTCGGGTTCCCGGCTCGGCGGGGAGCCTGTTTCTCCCTCTGACCTTCCCCCCTCTCATGCTGTTTCTCTCTC